CCACATCGTATATATATATAAGATAAAAGGTTAGTGAATCAAAGGTGCGCTCAAGTGCACCGCTGATTACAGTTTTTATCCACTTGATGTTTAGGCTAAAGCTTTTACCGTTGGAAGTTGTAGGGCTCATGCATATATAAATACGATGTGGCATTGTTGCGTTTGTTGGTGAACGTGTTGGTTTCGAATGGTCCATACTGAAGAAGAGGCTCTTTGTTCAAGTTCGCGATTCGGAACTTTGAGCCCCGTAGGTGTGACGATCCTGAAAATCGAAGGGTTCGCAAGTGTACGGTACTAACTACACAAAGGTGGAGGAGATTACACGAACCTTAATTGCCCCCGCTAATCGCGTCCACAAGTGTGCACAGCACAGTGTCAGGATTCATAATCCAGACAGCGGTGAGCGGAATGTTGGCTTGATAGCGTGGATCGCGGTCGTCCCTTCCCTGATTCCGATGGGCGGTACGACCACACGGACATCACGACAGACGAAATCAGGACAGGTGCAGCAGACAGAGCACGTACACACACGATAATACACGAGTGTCGGACGGGATGGTCTTCGCGACAAGCTAGATGCAGAGTAAGCAAATGAATGGAAGAAATGACCATTATGTGCTTTACCCACCGAATCCTTCGACCGAGGACGAGTCATGACTTCGCAGTATGTATGAAATTAGTAATCGGTGGTGACCATTGAATTGGTCTTCCGGTGACGTTATATATCCTGAAGGCCTAGTGTTCCCCAAAGGGGAGTGAGTGTCAGAGCCCCGACTTCCAGCGATATCCGTCGTCAGCAGAATGTTCCACCACCGCGCATCATCAATTATGTAATATGACCTTCATCTATAGGAGTAACTGCAGTCTGGAAAGCTCCAAGAAGCTTTCTACTAAGTAAACTGCGGTGCCAGCTCTACAGTGGTTTAGTCAACTATTTGTAACGACAGCAAATAAAAAGGAGCTAACGAACGGTTGCGGCAACATACTCAGTGTACTCAAAATATCCAACCTTCGTACCTAAATACTAATAATGATAATAAATAATCATTCGGATGTCACACCGTCTCGGTGCATATCTGCCGAGCCACCTGAAGGAAGCACGAGGGCTGAGATACTGTCAGGTTGCCAAAGCATAGACGAGAGTAGCCGAGATGGAGATGTTGGGTTCGAACCAATGACCTGCCAGTTGGTGAGTTCGCGTGTCAACCGCTGAGCCATCCTGAGCCCGTTGCCTAATTGGACTGATAGTACGACATACTTTCGACCCTCCTCGCATGGTTGCGGCTGCTGCCTCGCGTTGTGAGGACTTACTAGTTCAAAACCTATTTCTTTTTTCCGCTAGGAATATTGTAGCTGTTATTTCAGGAAGAGCTTCTTCTAGATACCACTTGGCTGTGTTGCACGCGTGGTGAAAACTATGGTCTCTTTCTATTATATTGAATCTGTGTTCTATTGAATCGACGTTATTTCATTTCTTCGGAGGTCTCCTGTTACTGTATGACCTTACTGGCATTTCGCACGCACCCCCCAAGTACGGTACGCATCGAAACTCATGTCTATTTTTTTCGGGGCCCCGTGGTTCATGTATTGGGTTGCTATGTGACCAGAAGGACCAGATGTTTCAAGGCATATGGAGCGCTGGTATTGCAGCTTTGTCCAGTACAATGAGTCCCCTTCAGAGAGGAATCCTTGCACAGGAGAACGGTTTTATTTGGTCCTAATTTTTGGTATCGGACATTCTCTATAGAAGTTGATCAATTGTCAAGAATCAACGTATATCAACAAAATTCTTCAGACATAGCCAATACACTGTGAAATGCCATCACAATAGCATTGTTAATCGGTGTGAAAACTTCAGGCTGGTATTTGGTTAGTGTCCGCAACGATCGCCGGATGAAGATGATGTTCGTGCCAGACCGTTTCACTCAGTCGCGCCAACACAGTACGGGTGAACAGTGAGTTCCACTCAAAACAAAACTATCTTAATGATAATACATCATAGATGACCAAGCAAAACACGGCATACCTGTTGAATTTTTCTCAGGTGTTGACTTTTTTGTTGCAAACATTTGTTCACCAAACCACGTGACGTAATAAGCGCAGTGCGGTTTAGCGTTACGTCGGCTGTGCAACAGTGTGTGGAGATAAAATTAATTATATATTTTTGCTACTTCCAGCTAGTGAGTAGGTCGTGTGCTGGGCTGCTCGACAAAAATTCCTGTTTCCACATAATTTTCCTTAGACAGATCCCGTCATGTAAAAACACATGTACTCGCCTCCTTCCTTCATAACCTCGACTTTTATCACTTCTCAATCAACAGCCGCCTAAAAACTCCAAAACAATCGACATGTGCAATATATGCCCAAATGCTCCCGAACAAGACTCGTCGCCAGAATGTAAAGAGGTGGAGGTGAGAACTACCCAATGAATTAAATTGCTTCCTTTTTCACTGCCCGGCGCGCTTTAATTGACGATCTGGCTACCCATGCAGCTCTGCTCACGTGACCTTGACTGTTGTGAACTTGCACACCTATGTTGCTGTTTCGGTGCTAGATATTTTTACTCCCCCTTTTGCCTGATCCACATGGTCATATGCGCTCCTTTTATCCTTTTTATGCGTCGTAAATCTTATAATAGGGCCCAGTGGTAGACCCCGCATATTTTTGTGTTGGTGATAGTGCGCCCTAGTTCGCCCCCAAATTCATTGGTTGTACGGGACTGTTTGCTTTCTGTTACTAACAGGTTCCTGAAAGTTTTTAGACAACTTCTCTCCCCCTCTAAATATCGCTCCATGCATGTATGAGGTATGAGAATCTGAAAGCGCCCGCTACTGCTAGCCTACTTCGAGTTTTAACGGTCACAACAACAGTGTTGCAAGTAGAACTAAGGAATGAATATCGACGAGCAGCATTTTGTTCACTTGCGCGGGATAGGAGCGTGCTTACTATTTAATCAATTTTTACTTGGAAGATCTCTGCCGGTGGAGTGTTTAGTGGCAACATCTACATATTATTGGCCTATAACGCGGCATTGTGATAATCGTGACCTACTTCGGTTATAAAGCATCTGTCAAGGGTACGTTGCTACGTTTACAGTCGAAAAAATGGGAAGACGGAAGAGAGACATAGCCAGGCAGTGAAAGCGATGGTATAATCGGTTAGTTGATGCCGAGTTATTTCGGTTGTTTGAGGAAACAGGGACCTTGGTGGCTTCGCATTGAAAACGACAGTTTTGATACAGTAACGCCACTGACTGGCCAACTAAGCTACGTTTTCCAGTGTTTTCAATCCTCGATGAGTTGAACCTGAAATTTCCCATACACAGAGGTGACAGTTATCGATCTGGCTGAGTTCAGTGCTTATGGCTTCCATATTTCCTTGTCAGACCACAAACTGTTTGCCTCTTGGTCATTTACACTTTGTGGAGAGCTTCCTAAAAAGAACTCTACAAAGTAGTATGGGTTTTGTGACGAAGTACTTGTCCTAAACAGCGCAATCTATAAAGCATGAGTAGCTCGTCCATAGTAGGAGAGTTCCATCTCCCTGGAACCATCTGGTGTACCTCAACGTGGCTGATTCAGTGTTCTCGCCAGACCCGGTCAATGCTTTAGAGACACCGATCGTCTTCATACATTCTGACCCATAAAACAGTGTGGATTGTACCAACGCAATGTATCCTCTGTCCGTAGCAGACAAACTGACGTCGGCACCAAACGTGTCGAAGTTTGTTCAATGCTGCCATGGTCATCTCAATTCGTGAAGTAATCTCGTTTCCAGCCACTCGATCGGAACGCACAGATCTATCCAGGCAAATAAATTTATCTACCACCCTAATTGGCTGGTATGCAAAGTTGCAGCTTCGATTTGGTTCCACTCAGTTCTGTAGTACAACTCTACATCTTGCGGGCGTAAAGAACCCACCAGACCGTGCCGTAGAATCATTTCAGTTACTTAAAATAGTTTGCACCTCCAGTCGATCCGAATCAGTGAGGACAGCACCACCTGTGCACTCAGTGTCTGTGAGTTAGCGCCCCGGGAACATTTCGATCTCCGAGCCATCAGAAGCAAGCAGAGGGACTTTAAGTAGCACGTCCGTAGAAACGTTCAAGGGGAATGGTGAGACAGGACAGCCTTGTCCTCAAACAACGGCTTTCAAAGCACTACTGGTACACGATTGGTGAGATACCAAAGTTCCCATATGTCAATAGGGTAGTAGTTGATTGAAGTGACCAGGGACAATGGAAGAAATGTGATTGGCTAGCTGTAACGTTATGTAACGGCCCGAGTTCAATTTATTGATCGTTATTTGCCTATTGTCCTGTCAACCATTGCTACTTCCTGCACCGGGTTGACAGTGGTGCGGTTGACGAGAAAACGAGCATCTAATCATTCCTAGCTTATTAGATGCTTCACATTTACCAACTACCTGACTACCACGTTACATTGGTGTCTGACTATTGTTTGACCTTCCCCAATGGCTTATCACACCGTACGTGCTTGTGATCGCCTATTGCATGCCGTGCTGTCGTTTGCTTGCTTCCCTGTGTGTGTACACCGTCGTCATCCGTTTGCCGCAACTTGTGGTCGTGTCTACACAGCCACATTCTCTTGCTTACTGTCTCTCTCATCTCTGCATGCTGCCCACCTGTAAAACGACCAAGGGTTCGTGGCTTGAGTTAACTCATCCCCCAAACAACACGTTGCCTCCGTCTCCGCGGGATCCACGACTGTGTCCAGACAGTTTGTTTCGTGTTCATGCACGTTCAGTTTCGGGTGCTCATTGGTCCTCTGAAGTCAAACCTATCAAGGTTTGTGCGTTTGGTGTTCTGGCATGCCATTTTTGTTTTTAAATGCCCCTATCTCCTTGACCCAAATGTAACAACTCGCTTGCATAGATTGCATTTGCAGCTCACCTAACCCTTAAACGTGTGTGGATTAATTTTAACTGTTTGACACGTTTCTTGGATCTACCAATCAACCGTGAAACGGTTCGGTACTACGTGACCAGGTATCGTCAATATGAGATGCGAGTTTCCCACTTGTGTTTCTGTATTTGTGTATTCGTGATTGACTAGCTGGAGGCCAGCTTTTCTCGTTGCCCATTGGCTTTCCAAATAGCAGATTTCGCCGTTAGCGCATGGTTGAGTCTTGGAGTATGAAGCCACTGTTCATGCTCTTGCTAATGTGAATTGGGATACTACCGTGTACAGCCTCTTCGATTTTGTGTTGTATTACTGCTCAGCACTGTCTTCATGGACACGTCGACGCGTGAAACTCAGGGACTCGCTCCCCTTCATTGTTAGGAAGCCTACCGAGTACATTTCTGCTGCCCTCATTACAACTACCCGAGTTCTTGAATCACATGACTGTGAAGCCGTCTGTTGCATCTATTGCATGTTTTCTGGGGTAGTGCTAAGTAAGCTTCAGTTAGTCCTCGTGTTCGCCAAAAACAATTCGATCAACCACAGAGGTGACCTCCGCCCATCCGATCACTTCAAACTGTGTTTATCTGCTCTTCCGGAGACAGATATATCGACAGTAAAGCGAAGTACTCTTATCGAGGCAAAGAGGAAACTTGTCCCGCGGGATATTAGCGTCTCTTTTACTGTTCCCAGATCCAAATATAGAACATGTAGTGTTGTTCAGTAAAACAACACAAACGACAAGTATAACACGGGCTGTGTAAAATAGGTCATGTAATCGGTGCCATGGTTGATTAGTCTAGATTGACCCGGACAATCGCTATCAACTCCGGGTCCTGAACCGGGGGTTCCTAAAAGTTCCATGCCATCCATTCAGGCTACCTTTTTATCAGAATGCCCCTTCATGAAACAGTTGAATTTGTATGCTACCTTATTTTATCAAATGGTCTCAATTTCGGACTCCCTGGTGTATACCTTGGATCCTTGGGTATAAGGAGACGTGCGTGTTGGGTTCGGAGGATAAGGCCCTAAGCACCTTGAGGATGCTCTTGTGGGGTAACCACTGACATCCAGGACCAGTGGATAGTTTTCTGGATGCGCGCTCTGTTCTGTTAGATAACCTTTATGTTGGCCATGCTTGTATTATCACCGAGGACGAACATTTCCAAAGCTTTGCCCCTAATCCCAACCTCCGTATAACCTACGAGTGTGGGCCAAATGACAGACTGACGTTTTACGATATGCTGGTCCGTAGGCGTGCGAACGGATGTTCAGTCTATCGCAAGACCACGTGGTTTGGTCAAAATCTGCAGTTTTCCAATAGCAGATAAGCTCATAATGTTGCTGAAAACTCTTCGACAGCCCACGACCGGTTCCGCCCTTCGGGCTGATCAGCTAGTCACCGTCTTCGAGTATCCGTCAATCGAGATTCGACAAACTCATTTGATTGCATACCAATTCGGACTTCACAGGAGATTCACCCGAATCCCAGATGAATCTCTCCTTTATTTCTATATAATGTATCGTGATAGTTCAAAAACCGTATCAACTGAAACATGAGGCTACCTTGTGGAGCTATTGTTGAGGCCCTATTAATTAGGGCTTAGCAACCAGCACTGTGTACGAAAAGGATTCTGAGTGCGGTCTCCGGTTTCTATGGCAGTGAATAAGTGACCGATTTTAGCCAACTAGTGAATGTCCGTTGATAGTTGCCATTTTTCGTCTTGCCTGCGACTGGAATTTGCAAAAGAGTCGAGGTGATTGCCAAACCACATGTCTAGGTACTTACCATACGCACTACTGAAGAGACGACACTACTTTAACAGTTATGTTTTGTCTCGTTTTCTTGACAAATGACTTACAATCGACAAGCTTCACTCCAACTTTCGAAGTGCAGGTTAAGATGCCGAAGTATATGGGAACCAAGATTCTTTCTGTCGCAGAAGCAACGGACATCCCCACTTTCAGGCCTGTCCTTCGCACACACAGAAGCATGGTTTTCATGGAAATAGAATCCCTCGTGGCCAGATAACCGCTTATCGGCTTTGTGTGAGTCGCCAGTTTTCGACTTCAGCCAGATTGACGTTTACTAGATATGACTCTCTGTGAATGATGGATAGAATCAGCTTAGTTTGCGTCTCCTGAGCGGTGCGGCCTACCAGATGCTCCTCTGCATGCACTGTGCAACTCGACCGCTCAGTTGTACCCACTTCTATCAACAATGATCGGTCACTAGTTGAGCTTGTAACGGTCACTCACTAGGTCATGCGTCACAAACACTCAAACCACGGGACGATTCCTCTCCCAGTTGCAACCTTAGCCGACAACATGTACACTACAACTTCTGCGGATGTAAAACAGAAAGAAAGCTCATGAGCCGAAGCCCAGCATTTCACCAATGCTTACATATAAATTAATCAAACTAGCAGACACCGTATACTACACTGGCCCCCTTTTTGAAGAACACCGTCACCGTTGTACCATGGCCTATGTGAACCAGCCCGTGCTAGTGGTGGGGTGCTTGAGGCTCATGAGCAGAAGTAAAGAGGTTGCTGTGTCTGGGACAGCGTCCACTGCATGTGAGTGAGGCCCTATTAATTAGGGCTTAGCAACCAGCACTGTGTACGAAAAGGATTCTGAGTGCGGTCTCCGGTTTCTATGGCAGTGAATAAGTGACCGATTTTAGCCAACTAGTGAATGTCCGTTGATAGTTGCCATTTTTCGTCTTGCCTGCGACTGGAATTTGCAAAAGAGTCGAGGTGATTGCCAAACCACATGTCTAGGTACTTACCATACGCACTACTGAAGAGACGACACTACTTTAACAGTTATGTTTTGTCTCGTTTTCTTGACAAATGACTTACAATCGACAAGCTTCACTCCAACTTTCGAAGTGCAGGTTAAGATGCCGAAGTATATGGGAACCAAGATTCTTTCTGTCGCAGAAGCAACGGACATCCCCACTTTCAGGCCTGTCCTTCGCACACACAGAAGCATGGTTTTCATGGAAATAGAATCCCTCGTGGCCAGATAACCGCTTATCGGCTTTGTGTGAGTCGCCAGTTTTCGACTTCAGCCAGATTGACGTTTACTAGATATGACTCTCTGTGAATGATGGATAGAATCAGCTTAGTTTGCGTCTCCTGAGCGGTGCGGCCTACCAGATGCTCCTCTGCATGCACTGTGCAACTCGACCGCTCAGTTGTACCCACTTCTATCAACAATGATCGGTCACTAGTTGAGCTTGTAACGGTCACTCACTAGGTCATGCGTCACAAACACTCAAACCACGGGACGATTCCTCTCCCAGTTGCAACCTTAGCCGACAACATGTACACTACAACTTCTGCGGATGTAAAACAGAAAGAAAGCTCATGAGCCGAAGCCCAGCATTTCACCAATGCTTACATATAAATTAATCAAACTAGCAGACACCGTATACTACACTGGCCCCCTTTTTGAAGAACACCGTCACCGTTGTACCATGGCCTATGTGAACCAGCCCGTGCTAGTGGTGGGGTGCTTGAGGCTCATGAGCAGAAGTAAAGAGGTTGCTGTGTCTGGGACAGCGTCCACTGCATGTGAGTTCTGAGGCCTGTATGCACATGTGTAGAGCCAGGGTTTTGTGGTAGGCCCGAACTATGGAAGCACCAGGGGCAGTGATTCTTCGGAGGTATGCATGCCAAAATACCTTTTCTGTCTGCGTTTTCTGATTTCTGGCTCAGCCCTTTTCGGTTCTGGCACTTTCGAACCTGTCCGCAGCCTAGCCCCTGTCTCTCCCCCTCCCCGATTGTCCACACTATCGTTGTACATAGTTGTTTCTATGTCGAGTGCCTTGATAAAGTAATTGAAAAGTGTTGGAAAAACAGTCCTAGTTGGAGTGATTTATATTTGAGTAATGGTAATTGACCGGAGGCCAGCCTTACCTAACAACCGAACACCACATGATTGGGACGGAAAGATTCTTTCTGTCGCAGAAGCAACGGACATCCCCACTTTCAGGCCTGTCCTTCGCACACACAGAAGCATGGTTTTCATGGAAATAGAATCCCTCGTGGCCAGATAACCGCTTATCGGCTTTGTGTGAGTCGCCAGTTTTCGACTTCAGCCAGATTGACGTTTACTAGATATGACTCTCTGTGAATGATGGATAGAATCAGCTTAGTTTGCGTCTCCTGAGCGGTGCGGCCTACCAGATGCTCCTCTGCATGCACTGTGCAACTCGACCGCTCAGTTGTACCCACTTCTATCAACAATGATCGGTCACTAGTTGAGCTTGTAACGGTCACTCACTAGGTCATGCGTCACAAACACTCAAACCACGGGACGATTCCTCTCCCAGTTGCAACCTTAGCCGACAACATGTACACTACAACTTCTGCGGATGTAAAACAGAAAGAAAGCTCATGAGCCGAAGCCCAGCATTTCACCAATGCTTACATATAAATTAATCAAACTAGCAGACACCGTATACTACACTGGCCCCCTTTTTGAAGAACACCGTCACCGTTGTACCATGGCCTATGTGAACCAGCCCGTGCTAGTGGTGGGGTGCTTGAGGCTCATGAGCAGAAGTAAAGAGGTTGCTGTGTCTGGGACAGCGTCCACTGCATGTGAGTTCTGAGGCCTGTATGCACATGTACAGAGCCAGGGTTTTGTGGTAGGCCCGAACTATGGAAGCACCAGGGGCAGTGATTCTTCGGAGGTATGCATGCCAAAATACCTTTTCTGTTTGCGTTTTCTGATTTCTGGCTCAGCCCTTTTCGGTTCTGGCACTTTCGAACCTGTCCGCAGCCTAGCCCCTGTCTCTCCCCCTCCCCGATTGTCCACACTATCGTTGTACATAGTTGTTTCTATGTCGAGTGCCTTGATAAAGTAATTGAAAAGTGTTGGAAAAACAGTCCTAGTTGGAGTGATTTATATTTGAGTAATGGTAATTGACCGGAGGCCAGCCTTACCTAACAACCGAACACCACATGATTGGGACGGAGATGTCACGTGCAGGATACGGACCAAACGAAGGCATGCCCTGATTGGTCAGAATGCCAGCCAATCCGGATCGAGCATCTTTGACTCGGCGCTTCTCGCCCCCTCACGGAAATTCCAAAACAACCTTGTGTCATTGCCCTATAGATACGGTTGTAACAATTCTCCTCTGTCTCCGTAGGGGGCTGTCTGAAGCTACCATTCCTTTTGATATACCGTAGTGGGCGGAGCAGGAAGCCAAGGGGCCGATAGCGAGTTGCATGACCGTTCAGCGAAAGCATAACAGTAATGTACAACCTTGCTTACTGGGCTTCGGCTCATGAGCTTTCTTTTTGTTTTACATCCACAGAAGCTGTAGTATACATGCTGTCGGCTAATGTCGCAAGTGGGTCAGGAATTGCCACGTGGTTTGAGTGTTTGTGACGCATGATCTAGTGAGTGACGGCTACAAGCTTACCAATGGTTTTAGAACTGCCCCCTCCCCACTTCACTCTCCTATCTCATCTCCTCGAGTTTACACTGCGTAACAGGGCGCGCATGCAGCTCAGCACAAACCTTATGTGGCACCGGTATCCATCGGTGTAGTGACAGGCCAATACAAGTCTACCGTATACCTACCTCGATGGACAAGAGACGTCAAAAATATTACTTCCGCTCAAATTTCGTTGTTCCCAATGAACATGTTTGTTCTGTTTTCTGTTCGTTCAGTACTAAAGTCGGTGTTTCGTAACCGCTATTTTCCTGGCTCATGAAACTTTTTAGTCCCCTTCTTAATGTCTTATTTCAGCGTGACACTGAAGCAAATGTTTCCTTCTGTTTCCTTTCGATTTATTTGGCAACAGACCTCTCAGTTGGGTGGTCCGGATGGTGAATCAAACGACGAAGACGACTTCGATGCAGTACTCGTTGACGATACCGATCTACACGTACCGGACGATATCTGGGAAAACACGACGTCAACCACCATATCTGGGGTGAGTTCCTCTCATGTGGTGCGATTGTTGGTTCGTTTCAGTTTGATAGTTGTGGATCTTAGGCAGGCTGGCACAGATCACCACACTCTGTGGAGCGGGTAGTTCAAGATGACATGAGGGGCTAGTTACAAAAAACAGTTGAGACCAGCAGTCGGGGATGACTACAAAACACGAGGTGAGTACAACATCTCCATCGGTTGCGTAATACCGTTATACCATTGATCTGATGATTATCTGATATCCCGACCTCTCAGGTCATATGTGCCGACTGAGCCGACATTCGTTGCTGTCTTTCATGCCTCAGGCCTGAACTTTTGGCACCTTCCAGTCAGTATCAGCCGGTTACAGACCCCGATATTTTGCATTCTCCAGCACGTTTTTGTGCTTTTGTTAATATTATTCCAATAACTGCTCTTTCGATACTCTGCTCTCCATGTTGGCATACACAATGCGCTTCCTCTCTGTCCTGTCACGACTAACCGATTTCGCTCATGCATGGGCTGCCATCAGAGCTCCTTTAGCTACATGGAGTAACCTAATCACTTGCATCAACTGGCTCACGTAGCATTACGGATCTTTTGGAAAAAACACCCGCTCTGACATGACTCCTTAGCCTAAGATCGCACGGGTACTTGTTGAAATTCTATTCAAATTTTCGTGCACGGAACATCTTTTGTCCCAAAATCGGCTTTTTCCAATTGTACTTTTGGCATTATTAGTGATCTAAGGTAGCAGAATATCTCCTCGGCGGGACCTCATGGGCGCAGTAATAATTGAAAACAGGATATCGTGGACTTGATTGGCCGAATTCCGGTCGATTGTGGGTGTCTTTCTGGTTTGGCGGAATCAGTCAGTCTGAGCTGTTTGAACACACCGTAGCAGCGCCTCTCCGACTCAGGGTTCTCACTCTATGCACTGAGCAAAGCACAACAGCGTCAGTTGGATAAGCCCCGTGTCCAGGAGCAGGACATCCGGGTGGCCTATTCGCACCGGAACAAAAACTGTGAAATAAAGTAGCCTTTCTGGAAGGTATATTCTCTCGAATGCAACAACAAAACAGTTCTGATCATACATATCAGGGAGTACTGCATCCTGTTTTCTGTTTGCGTGTGACAATATAACAGCAGGCAGCCTTATAGTATTTGCCGACCAAGTTTGGTCTAGTCAAAAACTCACTAGTATTGTATCAGTTGGTTGGTAAACATGGATCCTACAATTCAGGCTCACATCATCGTCGTTCGAACAGTCCACCTCCTGTCGTGGCGCAATTATACTGATGGGTTCATATGGAGTAGAGTTTCGCCCATCGGCGATGCACCATACCCCTGGCCGTGCTGGGGCTGTGAACTCGGGACATTTGAGTGGTACCACTACCCCACCAGCACATGCTATATGCATAAATTTTCACGTCAGAAAAACGAACGTGTTCACGCTTGAGCGATGGGATTGGCTAACCCGCTTCCTCGGACGACGACCCAAAATTGACCTGGTTGTTTCGATCAATTGACCCACTTGTCAGCAATTCTCAGTCAGGCAGCGCTTGAAACATAGCAGACAATTTTTCATTGGTTGTAGGTGGTTGGGAAATCTGTAGAGTGCGTATTCACATCACCCGCTTGAACAGCCCTCATTCTCTCCTGACCAAATTACTCTGATGAGTCCACCTCAAAATGTGGAGCTGCCTATGTGTAGTAATGCCATTGGTAGTAGTAATGCGTTTGGATTCCACAGACTAGGTGAACTCTGACAAGAGTGCTTGGAACCCGGAAAAATTTGCAGTCAACTGCGCACTGATGATGTCTCCACGTATGGTGACGAAACGTTTGCAAGCCAATTGCCAAGCTCGGCGAACAGATCAACAGCCACCTGATCAACAACCAATAAACTCACCCGAGCTACCAATATTTCAATAAATGGATCCATATAACTTGTCTGCTTTGGGCATGGGTCAGTCGTTTCGGGAACCGGATGAGTTCTTCTCGTCGAGTAGAGGTATTGGAATGGGAGTTGTTTTCAAAATGGTCAGAATTATTCACAGTTCTTGGGATAAGCGCTTGAATCTATTCGAGCGGTACAAAGGATTGGGGTTGTGATCACGGATAAAACAAAATTTTCAAATTTCTTTCTTTTCGCGGTGTTTCCGCTTTGTCCTGTAGATGTCCCGTAGACTAAGACCAGTGCTCGACGAACTGATGGGTGATACCGATCTGAGAAACCGTCCTCCAGTTAATCAACAGAGCGTTTCACTGAGGCTGAACTGAAGCTTCGATTATCCAGGTGGGAACCCCCAATTTTAATCAGCTGTGTAGCTTAAGACAATCAGCCGCCTCGAACCAATAAGGATCGATCGACCTTGAGAGTCGCAAAGGGAGTGAGGGACCAATCGCGAACGAGCATATCTGAGCATCCAGTGAAACATCCAAAGAGTAGCTAAATGGTGTCTGTAATCTACCAAAAATCCATGGTCTTGCACCAATAAGCTGAACTTTCTCTGAACTAAAGCGAGTCTTTTTGATCGATTTCTGATAGCGCAAGATTATTCTAGTCCGCAGATTCGTGTTTGAAGTCTTCTAGTTTTCCTTTCCCGTTTTGTTACCCCTCATGTGGACTTCTTCATTAGCATTATGCAAACACATTATCTGATGGATTAAGTCGCATTGTTATCATGAGAACAAAAGATGGAGAACCAAACCGAATCTCTCCATCCCGTTGATTTTTACTCACCTTTGATACTGAAACGTATTCGCGCGTTTTAACGCCACTGGAATGAGACATATGAGGTCATCTTGACACCCAAAATGGCTACTACTCTTGTTCTTCTCTCTCTCTCTCTCTATGTATCCTTTTTATTTTATCTCCCTCAGAACTTTGGCAGCGATCAGGCAACCACGCTGGAAACTCAGACCACACATCCCAACATTCTGCAGGCACTTCTTCCGGAAAATCAGACCTAACAACAGTGCGCTCCTTTGGCTTTCAGGGTGTATCCTACTCAAACACTGTTTTGCTTCTTATCGTTCTTCACACGTAGTTTTCGAACATTGTTTTTTCTCTGTTCGCTAGTCATTTGAAGTTGAATCTTGTGAGCTTTTTCCGTTACTTATCGCCGTTATACCTGTACCATCGCTACCAGTTTAGTGTTTGACTGCGCCATGACAAGCGACCAAAACGGTTCACTTTACTGGTTTGTGGTGATTAGCAGCGGATGGGATGGGCAGGGTGTCAGTCTGCATCCTATCCCTCTCTCTCTCTCTCTATTGGTCACTGTGATTGCCTGGCACAACATGACGTGTATGTGTGACCCACTGCTTATCCATGTGTTATTTTTATCTTGCGGAAACAACGTAAAAGAAGAGCCCTCCTGTGTAACGTGGATGAACTACCTGTTCGTTTTTTCGTCCTTCATTTCCTCCAGTGTTCTTGTTTGACTTCCGCTACATTAAAAAGATTTTATCCAAGTTCTTCCGCCATTTTTGTTGCAGAGGCTAACTGATCGGATTGGCCACCTTGATGAGTAGCGCATCAGGTTTTCGATTGGAATACAGCCGTAGAAACCCTCATAATTCTTCAGTAATAGTGTACTGCGAACGCGAATCTAAAGCCTCTAGCCGTGAGGAAAGTAACTCAGACCCATGACTTCTTGCTTTTTGGAAGATTGGGTTGAGCTAGCACATGGGAGCTGCACCCATGCCACAAATACGCTTCACAGTAAGTCGTCACAGATTTTCTTAACGGGTCAATAGTCTAGACACTCGGTGCCACTAACTACCATCTTGGTTAGGGTAGTTATGGATGAGATGGATGTGGAAGTCATTGAATAAGGTTCAAAATACCTGCAGGGTAACTTTGACGCGAACAAATGGTGGCGTTCGAATTCATGATACCTCTCCCTTCAGACATTTGCTCTAACAGCTGGTAAGCTGTCACATCACATACGCAGAGTCTAGGTGTGCCTATCCGAAGTGGTTGTAACAGTTTAGCTGTTCGGCAAGTGAAGGATGAGCACTTGAGGTTGCGCCTGAGACTGGACCCGGCGTAAGGCTGCTAAGAGTGAAGAGCAGGCAGCCTTGAAAAACTGGAGTAGCCTGAGCCGGCAGACTTATCGATTCGTACGGTGTTTGGGAAAACGGTAAAAGTGCTGCAATGCATCCACTGAAGGCTTCATCCCTCACCCTAGCGCATTGTTACATAGATTATGTAAGATCTCCAGAGAACGTGCTTCTAAAATGAATAAGTTTATGCCTTGTGAAGTTGCCCTCAGCGAGGATCACGAACGCTTAGGTGACCACCTCCAACTGGCCGAAGTCCCTAGCAAATTGATCACGTGATCTGAAACAAAAAACACCTGTTCGAAAACATAGCCGGCAGCCGTGTAATGTTGCGGTCAGCGAAGGAAAACTATCAACCCAAAAGATGCGCCCTTATAACGGGTTCGAATCCTGACGAAGCATGCCGTGGATCTGTAGCTACCCTTTCGCCACATACATGACTGTACAGGTCACCACCACTCACTAGACCACGAGATCTATTTTTTTCCTTGCACTCACAGATCAGGCCACACAACCGTGACTAACTTGACTACACAGCTCACAATCAAGCCCTAGATCCCAAGACCTCGTTTTTTTCCCTACCCGTACAAACCACGATACACAAGGGTGACTCATCCGATATCGACTGTCTACCGTCTGATACGGTAGCAACAAGTCATGTGCTGATACCCACACACACGCAAACGTTCCTACAAATAGGATACCAGCACAGCAACACCACACAACCCAACGGAGCTTCGCACGTCACCCAGCTCGGAGCAGAGCCGCTTGGGACTTACGGCGCTTCACTCACGGATTTTCAGGAATACGTGTGGCTGCCACAACAGTGAAGAAAACACGAAACCTGCATCCAGACTCACAACAGGATTTACCAACCTGAATCTGCAATACGATCAGTCCCCTTGTTCGCATATATACCTATTGTAATAACTTTTACTCAACAAGCTGATTTTGTTAGCGATTCCCGTTTTCTCGTTCGTATAACTAGTTTTCGGGTTCCGTTAGAGCATTAACAAATTGGTGAGCCCAACATTTGTGAACTCACGTAACTTCTGACATTTTTTAATTTGAACTTCCATATATCCATATTGCTACTCATGTCTGACACACCTACGGCTCAGTCACCAAACCCCCTATTACCTCAGCCAAATATCAACGCAGCATCTGTTCACCTACCTCCGTTCTGGCACCACGATCCGTACATCTGGTTTACTCAAGTGCAAGCTCAATTTGCTCTTGGAGGAATCACCCAGGAGCACACTATGTACTACCATGTTTTATCAGTTCTACCCCCTGAAATAGCGGCAGATTTACGCGATATTCTTATGGCACCGGATAACTCCCAACCATTTACACAACTTAGAAATACATTAATTGCGCGAACTGCGTTATCCGAACATAA